GTGTGAAGTGAACAAGATCAAATATGGATCTTCCCCACCCCCCTTAGAGGAAAAAAAAAAAAAAAAAACCCCCCCCCCCCCCCCCCCAAGCACCAAAGGGTGGCATTTCCAAGCAGACAACACCCCCCACCGCCCCCTCCCCTCCCTCTCCCTTCACACCTCCAAACGAAATCTAAGGCAGTGTCAAGTTTGGGGATGAAGGATGGGTATGGGGTGGGAGGGGGGGTGGTCCGGCTCCTACGTTTGAGAAATGGGCTTTCTGCCAGAAGGAAACAGCGGTGGCTGAGATGCGGGCTGGTCCGAGACCCCCGGGAGTCGCCATGCCCGAGGCAGGAGCGCAACCCCTGCCCGCACCTGCCCAGAACAGCGCCCACTCCCACTCCGACAGGGCGGACATGGGACACCGTAGCACCCGACGGGGTGGGTGGTGGGCCACCGCCGGGCTTCCAGATCACTCCGCAAAGCCCTTCCATGCTCCCCCACACCCTTTTGCCAAATTGAGAGTTTTCATCTCCGCCGGCCAGGACCTGCGGGGCTGAAGCGGTTTGACGCCTTTTTTTTTTTTTTTTTTTTTTTTTTTTTTTTTTTTTTTTTTTTTTTTTTTTTTTTTTTTTTTTTTTTTTTTTTTTTTTTTTTTTTTTTTCCCGTCGGGATCTATCTGGGGAAGGCTGGTCTGTCCCCCTGCCCCATGTCTGCCTTCCACGGAGGGAATTTCGGTGAGCCGGTCCCCAGAGCACTGAACACTGTTCTGGGAGCTGTGAGTGTTTGCCCGGAGGTGGGAACACGGGACTGGTTTGCACCTTTCTGTGAATCCACGCAGCAAATACTGGGGGCAGGCTGAAGGCCCGCTGTCCCGCGTGTCCCCAGTCAGTAGGTCCCGAGGGTCTCGGCCCAGCTCCCCACTTCTCCGGGGCAGCGCTGGCTAGGGAGCGGAGCGGCCGGAGGCGGCCAGGTCTACGGGGCAGATCTGGAGATCCCTAATTTGGGGGTCTGGGGCACGCAGGAGGGGTTCTGTGCCGCGATCACGGCAGCAGCCCTACGAGCTCGCCGGGAAGGGCTGCGACTGGGTCAGCCCAGAGGGCACGATTCAGCGCTGTCACCGCGTCCCTACTGCTGCTGCGGGGAGAAAAAACAAACAAACAAAACAAAACCAAATAAACAAACAAAAAAATTTCCCTCCGTCCCCTGTCCACCCCCCAAAAAAAAAAAAAACCCACACCAAAAAACCCTAAAACAACAACAACAAATACCCCCCCCCAAAAAAAAAAAAAAAAAAAAAAAAAAAAAAAAAAAAAAAAAAAGAAAAAAAGCAAAAAAGGGTCATGTTCTATCTAAAATTCGAGGGAGAGGAAACCCCGAGAGATATGTCTACTCAGGTAGGTGCTCTCAGGGAACGGCGGGTTTCAAACTGGATGAAAAACGAGGGGTACAAGCCGGCTATTCATTTTAAACTAGAAAAAAAAAAGAAAGAAAGAAAAAGAAAAAAGCTTTTGCTTGTCGGTATGCAGATTAAATAACCAAAATCCCAGCTATTTGGAAATGGGGGGCTAGCCAAATTAACAGGCTGCAAATCTTCAGGAGAAGGCTTTATTTACTATCCCGCCCCAGCCACGTGTGGTAAACTTCTGCGGGTGCAAGGGGGCCCGATATCTCTTCTCTTTGCACTCAGAAGTCAATAGATCAGAAACCCAAATTAACTCCCAGTCTATTTTCCATACACCCAGCCACCTTTTTTTTTTTTTCTTGGTTATATTGAATTGTAGTGTTTGCAGCCTCATTAAATCCATTCCAAGACAAAAGAATAAAAGACTGGGGGGAGGGAGGGAACAGGAGAGGAGGGGGAACAGGAGAGGGAATGGGAAAAAAAAAACAGATAAAGAAAACAAATAAAGCCCTTTAACTAGATCTTCACATAAATGTCACAGTTTCTCAGCATTTACGATTTGGCTGTTTAGCATAAAAACACTTAAGGACAAGATTGAAGGCTTTCCGAGATATCTGGACAGAAGTCAAAGCTATCATTCGGAGGTAAAAAAAAAAAAAAAAAAAAAAAAAAAAAAAAAAAAGAATAAAATAGAGGGGATGTCGGAGTGGGGGCGGGAGGTGGCAGAAAACAAGTGCTCTTCCAAATAATACTAAAGAAAAGTGAATTTCATTGTAATTCATAGGCTTGTTCCAAATACCAAGAGAGAAAGAGAGAAGAATAGAAGCGCACAGATGCCCCGACGAAGGGAGAACAGCTCTGTTCCCATTGTTGTGGAGTTAAACAGTGGAAGGGAGGGTTAACCTAATCCATCAAATTGTCTGGAAATTGTGAAGAAAATTCAAAAACCATATGGTCTCCAAGCGCTCTCCTTCTCTCTGCTGCGGAGGGGCACGCTTGTTTCAGCATGGCGAACCGCAGGAGGCTGTATATGCTCCATTGTCGCTTGTCACTTCAGAGAAGAGGGCTCATTTGTCCCCAGTTTTCATGCTTTACGCTAAAAATTACAACCCCATCCATTCTCAAAGAGGAGAAAGATTTATTTAGCCTCGGAGAAAGTGGACAAAAAAAAAAAAAAAATCAACCCACAAACCAACCCTGCCTTATCTGGACACTTCTCCGCCAAGCTCTGCCACTGTACACCAGATTTGCCTTTCTCACATAAATTTTGCAAAGAATAGGGAGAAACACACGTTGCGCGACTCCAAAGGCAGGTCACGCTGCCAAGAGAAAACACATTCACTAGAGTCTTAATTTTGGCCGGAAAAAATAAAGGAAAGAGAGACAAGGGAGAAAATTTAAAAAAAAAAAAAAAAAAAAAAAAAAAAAAAAAAAAAAAAAAAAAAAAAAAAAAAAAAAAAAAAAAAAAAAAAAAAAAAAAAAAAAAAAAAAAAAAAAAAAAAAAAAAAAAAAAAAAAAAAAAAAAAAAGGAGAGAGAAAAGAAAAATAAAAGAAAAAAGAAAATAAAAGGAAGAAACGAGATGTTTTCCATCTTCCATCCTCTTATCCCCATGGCAGCTTTTGCCCAGAAGCGGGAGGCCTGGCACGCCGGGTGCAGAGCAGCTCCCCCCGCTTGTTTTGTCCAAGTCGGTGATAACTCCTTCCCCTCGCTCAGATTTTTTTTTCTTTCTATTATTTTTTCTTCCCCCCCCCCCTCCTTTCCTCTCAAATTTCGGGCTGGAAATGCCCTGCTGGCGGCGGGAGCGGCGGGGCGGGCGGGGGGTGCCGGTGGTCCTGCTCGCCCTGCCGTTCTCCCGCTGCCGCTGCGCATCCCCCGAGCCCGAGAATAGCTGCCTGCACCTATTGCCTTATCCATCTGCCGAGTTCTCCCTCTGCTAAGCTCTACCTGGCATTATCCCTAAAAAAAAAAAAAAAAAAAAAAAAAGGTCTCTCTCGTGTGTTCCTTTCCCGTCATTTTTCTCGCAGGTACTGTGCATAAAGTAACTTTAAATGCAAACGGGATGGGAGATCTCTGTGGTAGAAAAGTCTGGCGTAATCCTGGAACGGAGAGGAGTGTTTTTTCGGTCACAAAGAAGGACGTTAAAAAGTATATTAAAATGGTAAAGATTTTATTGTATCGGAAAAAGAGCTATCTGTACAATTCTAAGAGACAGTAAATAAAGCGACATTGTCCCTATCGGAACTTAAATAGCAGGCCTTTTAAAATTTGTACAATTCAAACAAAAACAAGTCTTAAATCTGTACATTTTTATTAATTTATAGTGTAATATTTAAATGTATTGATCTTGGGATTTGTCCTTTTTTATTTTCATAGCATGCAAAAATTCTAAAAAGAGTAAAAAATAATTCTAGGATTTTTTTCCATTTTCCTTTTTTTTTTTTTTTTTTGTTACCACCTTCATATCAAAAATACGAAAGGCAGCTTTTAATAAAAGCACAACAATAGCAGAAAATGGTAAAAATAGCTTTTAATTGGTAAAATGAGGCAGAAATTGCATTGGAGACAAATCTCTATGCTCTAGAAAAAAAAGTATATATTTTTCAACTTGCATTATAACCCAGCCCCAAGTTCCCCAGATTGCAGAAGAAAAAATATTTTTAAAAGGAAAAAAATTAGTTCGTGCACATTTGAAACATGCAAGGAAAGGAAAGTGGCTAATTCTTTTCTGTTGACGTTTTAAGCCTAACTTAAATCTTCTCTAAAGTGGTTCGTTTCGGAAGTCTTTGAAAACAACTGCTTTCCCAAACATCTGTTGGCAGCCGAGTTTATTCCAAGATTATGCTTCTCCCTTATGGATAAAATAATCATCATTGATAGCTATTAAAAAAAATAATAATCAAAACCTCAAAAAGAATGGGGAAGGAAAAAAAAATCCAATATATACGTTTAAATATTTATACAGAAGCCGTCCATAATTGCACCGTTCCGAAGATGTGGCAGGCGGAGGGATATCGACTCTACCCTAAATTAATCGGGATGTGTGTGTGTCTGTGGTGGGGTTCTATTGCTTATCGCTCCGACCGAGGGGAGCAGCCGCCCCGCCGCGCTGCCGGGGCCGGGATGGGGGGGCCGAGGGTGCCGGTTTGGAGCTGTCGGGATGGGGGGGGGGGGGGTTACGGGATGAGGGGGCCGCCGGCCGCCCCTCAGTCATCCACGTCGATCTCCACGTCCTCTTCCTCCTCCTCCTCCTCCTCCTCGCTGTCCCGGCGGCTGCGGGGCCGCTCCGTGGGGGGCGAGGCGGGGCGGGGCAGTGGAGGGGCACCGGGCTCCCGGGCGGCGCCGGGGGGCGGCTGCGGGGACCCGGGCCGCGCCTTGCCCCTTCCCTCGGCGCTGGGCTCCAGCTCGGCCAAGGCCACGATGTCCACGGCGGGGTTAGGGCCCAGCTTTTTGGCCGATTCCACGTCGGCCTTCATCTCCTCTAGGTCTCTCTTGAGCTTGGCGCGGCGGTTCTGGAACCAGGTGATGACCTGGGCGTTGGTGAGCCCCAGCTGCTGGGCGATCTGGTCCCGGTCCGCTGGCGACAGGTATTTTTGGTAGAGGAACCGCTTCTCCAACTCGTAGATCTGATGGTTGGTGAAGGCCGTCCGAGACTTCCGACGCTTCTTCGGCGTTTGCCGCTGCCCGAAGATCGTCATCCCGTCCCGGCCTGCCGACGAGCCGCCAGATTGCACCCGCTTTCCCCATGTCCACCCTGACCCGAGCCCCCGGCCCCCACACCCCTGCCCCGTCGATATCTGGAGGGAGTAGGGCAGAGCCGTCGCTCCTGTACCCCGAGGGCCGTGGGGAGAGGATGCCGCCGGGTACCGGCCGCCAAGGGACCCCCCCCCCCATCCCACCCCATCCGACACCCCGGGAGATGGTGGGAGGTGGGGAAAGTGAGAAGGAAAACCAGGCCGTGGGGAGGAGCGGGGCACCCACCCGCTGGAGGATCCCCCCCACTCCAAGGGGGTCTTACCTTCGGCCGCCTGCAGCACGCTGACTTCCAGCCCTTTGAAGGTCTTGCTGGCCAGCTCTTCCAGGGCGCAGAGGGGCGAGGTCTGGGAAAGCAGCGCCCGGCCGGAGAGGGGCAGCCCGGCCGGGGGGTGCTTCTCGGCAGCGGAAAGGAGGTGGGCCGTTCCGCAGAGAGTGTAACTCCTCCGCACCGAGGGCTTGTTGAGGATGTCCTCGATGCTGAAGGGGGTGAGGGGCTTGTTGGAGTTGGCCGGCGGTGGGAGGTGATCCAAGGGGCTCCGCCGCCGTTCTTCCCCCGAGGAGGGCTTGGGTTCTTCTTTGGAAGTCATGGTGGGGCCGGGCCGCGCGGGGCTGCCTTCCCCACCCGCGACGGGGATGCGCTGCCGCGGGCAGAAGTCCCCAGCGGGACCGCGGGGTGACGGCGGCGAAGACAGCGAGCAAAAGTTGAAGCCCACCTCCAACTCCGGCGGAGGAGCCCCGGGTCCTCCCGGGGAAAGCCACGTCGGGCGGCGGGCCGGGCGGGCAGGGCGGGCAGGGCGGCGGGCGGGTGCGGAGAGGAGCGGAGCCGTCGGTCCCTCGTCGAGAGGTGGTCCTGCCGTACCTCTTGTCCCGGGGTTTTGGGTCGGAGATTTCCACCCCCACTCTCTCTCTTCACTCTCTCTCTCTCTCTCTCTCTCTCTCTCCCCTCTCTTTCTCTTCCTAGCTGCTATTTTAAGAAACACCCCAAATCACAGCACTTTCCCTACTCCCCCCCCCGCGAATACCCACCCCAAAATAATATTAAAAATAAAATTTAAAAAAAAAAAAAGGAAGAAAAAGCAAAAGCAGATTTCGGCGAGGGGGAGAGCAGCCCTCGCACCGAGACCTCGGACCAGGGGGAAAGAAGCAAGAAGAGATGGGGTAATTGACTATTGCTAACAAGTTATTGTTGATTGGGAGGTAATCAATTATCTTCAATGACACTTTTCGCCCTCTCTCTCTCTCACTCCCTCTCTCGCTCGCTCTCTCGCTCTCTCTCTCTCTCTCTCTCTCTGTCCAATGCAGGCTTTTGCAAGTTCGGAGACCCATTAATTAGGAGGCGGTATGGAGGTGGAGCCCAGTTGAATTATAATGCTGAATGCACTTGTCATATTCTGGCCCTGCTATTTGTTTGGACATATATATTTTTAAATTACATTACAAACCAACCTTTATTGCATCAGGATAATACAGTATAGTGAAAAATAATAAGGGAAAACAAACCAAAACGAAAAATTTCCAACTCTCTATTTCTTTTTCTTTCCCCCGAGATTTTTTTTTTGTTTTGTTTTTCTTCCATTTCTTCCTCCTGTTAATTTCGGCTACCAGGTGATTTAAAATGTCTCTCTCCGGCTCAACGCAAAGCCGTTTTTTTTTTTTTTTTTTTTTTTTTTTTTTTTTTTTTTTTTTTTTTTTTTTTTTTTTTTTTTTCTTTAAATGAGGGGAAGAAGGGGAGAGCCTGGTTCCAGGTAAGGCAGACCTTTCCTTTCCAATAAAATCCGGAGGTTTCCGCCGAATTTGTGGTGCTCCTCTTTCCCAGTGCCCTGTGTTTTAGCGGACTGCGGGGTGCGGGACGGGAGCAGGCCCCTCCGGGAGGGTGCCGGTGCCGAGAGTGCCCGCGGAGGGGTTGCGCGGCGAGTCGCGGGCCGGGTTCGTTCCCGGGACGTCGGCGGCTTCTTGGGCTCCGTTGGTGCCGGGGATGGCGGGTGGTCCTATCCGGCGGTAGCGCGGGGGGAAGGGGCCGGGGAGGGCCGATTTCCAGCCCGAGGCCTCACGTTGCGAGCCCATCGGCGGCCCTGGAGAGGGGCGGTGGCGCGGGGCTTACTGCGTCCCCTGCTCCCGAGGGGACCCGGCCCGGCGCGGGAGGGACAGACCTGCTCCTCAGTATTTTCACCCGGGCCACCATCCCGCCTATGCCTCGCCGTTCCGCAGGGACGGAGACAAAGCCCAGAGCTGGGGGTGAGCAGCCTGGCCCCCACCTCAGGCGTGAGTACCCCTCGGTCCCCGTGGGGAGGCCGGGACGCGACCCGCGGGCCGGGCTGGGGCTGGACGGGGCGGGCGGTGGCTGGAAGGGCGGTGGGGCAGGAGGAGAGGCCGGGGCCGGATCTGGCCCCAACTTTCCCTCCTCACCTTGAGGGCCAGGGGGAGGACGGCTGGCAGCTCCCAGGCCGCTAGGTACCAAACAAGCACAAAAGAAGCAAATGGCTCCTCTCCTTAAAGCGCCCTCTTCCCATTTTTTATAGCTCTCTGGGAGTCTCTTTATGCAGTGACCTATTTTTAAAGGCCTATATTGGGTTATTCATCATATCAAATACTGCGAGGAGCTGAGGGGGGAGCCGGTTGGGGTGGGAGCGAATTACACTGATTCTAAATCGCCCAGCTTCTTTGCTTTGCTAGGTGGATTATTTGCTTCGCTTTGCTTGGGTTTTATGAAGTGATTTAAACATATTTTAACCAATTAGAGACTTTACTCCTCTCCCTTGTGTCCCCTCACATTATTTTCCAGCGTGACTTTTTATGTCAGGAATCGGGTTTTATTGAGAACTCGGACGGGGATGCTGGTGTTATAACTATAGAAATAAGATTTTAAAAAATAAAAAAGGGGGGAAACCGGAAGAAAACTGGTCTCTTTCCTGGGTCTGAGTTTGGGTGGGCTGGACACCGTATGGGATGCTCCGAGGCCCTGCCGGTTATCCTTCCCCGCCGAGCGGAGCACAGACCCGGGGCGCAACTTGCACCCCCATCTCAAGTGCAGCCCGTTCCACTCAGGGTACGGGCAAGAGCGCGCCAGACACAGCGAAACCCTGAAAACCGTTTTGCATCTCCTGTTGTCCCTCCAGCCCGCACCTCCCCTCTTTACCTACGCGGGAGGATAGGGTTTTAAATGCAGCCTGCCTTTTTTTTTTTTTTTTTTTTTTTTTTTTTTTTTTTTTTTTTTTTTTTTTTTTTTTTTTTGGCTTCCTAATAGGGGCAGAGCCCAGCGGAGGGCGGACAGCAGCCCCAGTACAGACTCTCTGGCACAGAAGGACTCCTCTTCGTTTGCCTGTCAGGGGATAGCCGGGTTCACGCTTTGCATGAGTAGCTCAGTCCGATGGTTCCAGGCCTGCCGCTTGCCCTTGTGCCCAGCATCCCCCCCGGACAGCATCTCACTGAGAAAAGGAGCGGCTGAGAGGGAAGGGCGCAGGTCCCGGCCCCCATTCCCCCGAGCCCCACGGCGCTCTGTGGCTGCCCCGACGGCCTCCGACCGGCTCCCCTGTCCTCAGTTCTCTCGGCTGCCCGGTGGCGCCTTTGGCGGATTTGGGTTCGTTTTCCCTGCACTCACTTTGCCTTTGCAACCACTGCATCTCGCTCCTCGTAAACGACTCCCTTTCTGCTCTACGAGGTGGCCGAAAAGCAGAGGAGGGGCAAGCTGGGCTGCCCCCTTCCTGGCTTAGCGGGAGAGCTCAGCATCCTCTCTCTCACCCTTCGGAATCTAATTATTTTAATTTTATTTTTGGCAGCCCTCTTGGCATCCAGGCCTGAACTAGAGACCCTCAGTGCCCCCTTCTCCCGCATGTCCCATTGCACCTCCCTGTCCTCAGAGGGCCCCGGGGAGCAAGGAGGCACAGGGGACAGCCGTGGGGCCTGCTCCAGCCACAGCCACGGAGCTTCGCATCCTGTCGGGCTCTTCTGCCTGGCCCGCCGGAAGGCAGTTGATAGTTGTGTGACCCACCTTTGAGGTCGTTTAGGGAAAAGCACCCTCATCCGATGCGCTCCAATCTGTCCACTTCCTCTGCTTCAGCCCCTCTGAGCAGGACCTGTCACTGATCTATTCCTGGCGCAGGTACGAGAAGTTTGAGTGGGATTTCATGCCGAGAGGCAGGGGGGGCAGCAGGGCTGGAAGGAACAGCGGTCCTTGGGTGTACCCGGGAATGGATGAAGGGGTCCCCTGAAACCGTCGGGGAGGTGTCACTCCTGGGCCCTGCCTTCTACTGTGGAAAAAAAAGCCAATAAAACTGCGGCCTTTCCTCCTCCATGGAGCAGAAAACTGCCGCTGAATCCGAAACTATTTGTGAGCGGGGAAACAACAAAAAAATAGCATCTTTGGAGGCGTCTCCCCTCTCGGTCCTCAGAGCCTTATTTCGGGGGGTCGGCCTGGCTGCCCTCCCCGGAACAGTCCCAGGCCAGGCGGGCAGCAGAAGGGCACTCCCGGGGCTGCCCGGCTCTGGCTGTGCGCGGCCCGCTCCTGTCCAGGAAAATGTCACAGGAATATAATTAAAGCAGGCGGCATATATCATTCAAGTGTTGATCACCAAAGTAACTGCGTACAAATGACACCTCCTTTCCCGGCATAGCTGAGCCGTGCATGGCTCCCAGCTATGTCTACCTAGTTTAAGTGGTCTAAACACGTTACTGCTCCCTGTTAGCAGAGTGGAGAGGAGCAAAACTCTGTGCCCTCGAGCTGACAGCTAGTCCTGGCACAGCATCTCGCAAGAGCCGGGAACCTAGGAAATAACTGTTATTTTTCTTTTTAAGCAACCTCCCACCAGTTTTGAGCTGCGAGTGCTGAGAGGCGGAGAGTGCCCGGTGGGACCCGCAGTGAAACCCGGAGGAGGGAGAGCCACGGCGGAGTCCGAGGTCCCTGTCCTAGTCTTCTCTACAGAAACTGCTGGCAAAATGTACCTACAGGTACCCCCTGACCACGCCGCCGCCGGGAGCTGCTCGGCGTTGCTCCCCTTGGAAAACAAACACCCCGAGCTGGGGACCCGCCGGCTCCCAGCTGTGATGGAGAGGGGGAGCTGGAGAACTGGGGGGCACTGCGGGGCCGGAGAGAAGCTCCCCGACCGATCCCATCTCCAGAGGTCGTTGTATAGCTATTGCGCGATTATTCCTCCCCTCGCAACCACCTCCCTGCGGGGGAAAAATCCTCAGTGCACCAAAAATAAATGTGACCCGAATGCCCGCATCTGGTCTGGGAGCCGGGGCCAGGGCCAGGGCGCCCGGCCCGGCTCGGCTGGAGCGCACCGGCCCCGCGAAGCCCCGGCCTTTCCCCGGCAGAAGGAGGCGGAGAAGCCGCCGTTCCCTCAGAGGGCTTCGGCGTGGGGGCAGGACCTGCGCGGGACAGAACAGAGACTAAACCCGCTGCTTCAGGAACCCCATTAGAAGCGGGATGCGGGGAGCAGCCCCACCCGGGCGGGCTGGCAGCTCGGTGCCCGGCTCCTCGACGTTCCTTGGGAATTTTTCGTTTGCAAACGAACTCCCTGGGAGACTCAGCGGAGCCAAGACCAGCGGAGCTGCAGGCTCCGTCTACCTTTTGTCCACCCCTGGGGCC